ATGGTGGCGGCGGTCTGTCGCACGCACAATACGACACCGCACATCAGCACAGGTGTGACGCCGTACGAGGCCTTATTCGGGAGACCACCGTACTTCGCGCGGTTGCAAGAGGTAACCGGCACAATGACAGAGGAGCAGAGGAAACAGAGCCTGGCGGCACGGATGCGTGAGAGGTTGCAAAGGGCCATGCTCGCAGATAGGCCGCTCGAGGAGTCGGGCGCGGATGACCTACGGGTAGGAGAAGTAGTAATAGTCTCGGTGGAGCCAGGGTCACATGCAGACGCCAGGGGAGGACCGAAGACACCAGCTTGGGCGCACACCGCGTGGTCGCTACCAATGAGGGTAACACAGTTGAGGAAAACGCAGGTGGTGGCAGAAAGGTGCGGCGTGCCGGGGTGGACGGTCACGGCTCACAAAGACCAAGTGAGAAGGTTCAAGCTGAGCGCGGATCCACTACTGCGGTGGACATCACAAGAGTACGTCTCAGGGCAGCGCGAGCTGGAGGAGCAGGCCGAGAACGGGCGGGGAACGACCGACGTTGGCATGAGGACAGAAGCCAACTGGGATGAGTTCTTAGGGATGACACAACCCTTCAACTGAGAGGCCGCGTCAGCAGCCGACCAGTACGACACAGCATGCGGGCTGAATGGGCTACGAGTTCGTAAAAAGCTAACGGCAGGGACCCCAGTTTCATCTCAAACATTGTGCGGCAGCACGCAATGTTCTGTTTGGCATCGTTGTCGATGGCTGCGATGTCCGGCAGTTGTCCTTACATTATCAGTCGCGGGGACGAGTTGTGTCGGGGGCGTGTATAGCAATTACTTTTGAGGTCGTTATGCCCCTGGACGACTCACACACATGTTCGAACGAAATTTTGGACGGAGTCAGAATGCGTTTGGTCTCACCCTTTTAACCAACTGAGGTATTTTTTTTTGAATGAGGACAATCTCGTGCATAGGATCGAGTGAGGTAAACCTGGAGTTGTTGGTGGCGGTTGTCAACCCGGACGGCAGCCGTCCGGGCATGAGCGACTGTGAGCCGTGGGTAATTGATTTGAGTGTGCCGGGCGAGCAAGCGTGTTCCGCGGTGGTCTTGGTGCCTCGCGAGCACTCGTGGAAGTTGGAGAGGGGTGAGCTCGACACATTTGACTGGCTGAACGACGTGAGTCGTATGCGTGTGTACGACATACCGCAGCTGTTGGGATCCCAGACGCCGTGGATGTCGCCGGAGGCTGTGTCGACCGTGCTGGAAATTGACTCGGAGACAGGGTCGGCGGAGACTGAGGGCCGGCTCACGGGCAAGACGGATGTGGGGATGAGTTCGAGCAAGTTTGTGCAGTCAGTGATAGCGAACGCAATTGAGCGTCGGTTGGAGGAGTGTCTAGAGGAAAGTACTAAGGCGGACGAGGTGTGGCTGGAGGTGTTCCGAAAAGGCCGAGCGCAGCTGAAGTTGGTGGACACGGGAGCGGCGGCTGCACACGTAGTTTTCGGTCGCCGAGTAGTTGAGTCGGAGTTGGAGGAGTTGTTACCGACGCTGCCGGCGGAATGGCACGAGCCAGTACGGGCGAGAGCGGAGGCTGGTGCGAGAAAGACGCCGCTGCGGGAGCTGGTGATGGAGGATCCGCCGGAGGGTGTTCTGCAAGTGCAGAAATCGGGGGGGTGTTTCGACCGGCTCCGTGATCACCCGGGGATGGTGGTTGGAGCGACGCTGTTTTCGATGTTCACCGTGACTGCGATAATCTACGCCTTGAGGAACCAATCGCCGGTAGCGCCGGAGCAGCTGGCGAGGTTGGTTGTGGATTGCGAAGGAGTGCAGAACTACGAGGTGCAACGTGTGGATAACGTCACGTGGGGTTTGAAGGACGTCGTGTGGAAGGACCCCTGTGAGGGTGGGAGTGGAGTGCTCTCGTTCCTGGCTGGAAAGGACGGAAGCGTTAAGGAATGCTACCGATTCGGGGTGCCGGAGTCCTACGATATCTACGCCGTAAAAGAATCTGCGTACAGCCAAACGGCGACCCCCAGTGAGACCGGCTCCGTTAGCTGCTTCTCGCCCAACGAGACTGAACGCCAGCTCCGCTACCGGATTGCGCGAACACTGAACGTGCCCGCCATCGGGTTGATCCCCGATGACGTGCTCCCCGGTGAGCCGTCCCCCACTGAGGCGCCGTCCCCCACTGAGGCGCCGTCGAACACGACGGAAAAAACGCCTGGCGCAAACCTGATGGCACAGCGAAAAGACCTCGTTAACTACCCCGTCAAGGCCGCCTGCAGCGTTTCCTGCACCGAGGACTGCCTCGAAACGATCACCAACGTAGGACATTGTTTCTGCGACTTCGCGCAACTCGACTGCCATTACAAACACAAAGGTGAAAATGAGACCCACCCAGTTCACCTCACCGCCTTCAATTCCAAATGGGAGCACTTCAAGGACCGCGTCACCGTCCTAAACGACCCCCGCTTCGACGTCGACAGCTGCCAAGCCGTCTGCCACAAGCATAACGTGCCGGAATCCAAGAACGTGTTGGGTCTCCACTGAGCCGACCAGGAAGCACCCAGCTTTATTCCAACAGGTGGAGCGACCCAGACAGTTCTGCCACGCACAACGTCGGGGGAAAAAAACTTTTTTTAGTAGTCCTTCCGGGTCTGAAAGTTCCTCGCGTTTGGTATCGTGGATTGCCATCACCACCACCCACCCGTTAAAGGAATTTCAACCCGGCAAACCACTCGCACACGACGATGGCTGTCAACCCTGTTGACAGCTCACTGGTGGGCCACCTGGGTGGACCACCTGGGTGGTGTTAGCGTCACGGGAGCGAATTGCGTCAAACATGTATAGAATTTTTTTCCAGAGATCGTCATGTTGCTGGACGACTCACTCGCAGAGCGTGCGTGCATCCGATTTATTACAAGCTTACCTGAGGACGTGACGACGGATTCAGTTGGCTGCCTGCCTGCCAGCGGTGAGCTTGCTATTGTAATGGCCGCTTACTGTGGGCGTGGTGATCTGGTGGGCGTGGTGATCTGGTGGGCGTGGGCGCGGGCGCAAACGTCCTCGTTTACGGTACGGTCCGTGAGGAACTGTCGCCGGCAGAACCTCAGTCGATTGAGTCGCCCGCTGCTGGCCTCCTGTACCAGTCCGCCGAACAAACAATCGTTCACTTTGTCTAGACCTCCGGTGACCGTCTCAAGCACCACGTGACCCTCAGCCCTAAATCTCTGCAGCGTGCCCGAATGCTAAGCCCGATCTCCTTCTTTAGACCCCCGGTCAACGGCTTTGAACAGTTCTTCACCTGAATGCCATGCCAATCACACTAACATTAGAACAGTTCTTCACCTGAATGCCATGCCAATCACACTAACATTAGATGGATCTCTTCGCCGCACTCCAAAGCGGGAATGTACAGGTCCACTCCAGGCTCGTTCTGCTTCGCAGTGATAGCAAGGCGTGCGGCAAACATGCTGGCCACAATGTCCGGGGTCACGTCACAGTCGATCCTAGCGAACGCCGTGAAACCGACCTGACCGTCACGCTCAGAAGGCAAACTCTGAAGGTAGTCAACAAGCACGGTTTCGCGGTCCTCCGCCACATGCCTGACTATCGCCATGAACGACTTCACCATGGTTTCAGGAAGACGCAGACCCGGGGTGAACGGAACCTTTAACAAAATGCCCAAGAGAGCCAAGGTCCTATCTTGGCGGCTGCCACCCCCCAATTTAGTCATGGCCAGCTCAAGAACGTCTCGCGGAGTGGCAGAACCCTCTAGAACTCCAGAGATCGTGGTTCGGCATTTCCATGAAATCACGCCAGTAGTTGATTTGCTGACCACCTGACATGTCCCATGCAGCCTTACTATATCGGAGAAGATGTCCTACGGCTGCAAACCCGCCAAGGTCTTGAAGGCAACGGTTTTGAGGGAGGTAAAGGTCTGAACGATCGGTTCAAGACCTCGAGGGTAGCCGCTATTCGTTTGCAGGGAGACGTAAACAAGCGGGTGCACGCGCACGGCAGTCTCCTTAATCAATCGGACTTCCCGCATCCACTGGACTGCACCACACTGCAAACCGGGCTCCTGTAAACAGTCGGTGTGTACTGGCTGCGAATAACCGTATTCTGCTCCAGAATGCTTCAAGCCGGTTTGGTCGGAGAACGCGCGGTCAAATGCCATCCGGAAGCCTTCGACCTCGTTCTGGCCGCTCTTCGGGCTTCGAACGATAGAACCCGGTGTCTCTGCAATATTCGTAGCCATCCGCAGTGCTGCTTCGGCCGCTTCCCTTGCCTCC